TGCTTATGTGCTTCTGCACTGTTTTAATGAATGTGTCTATAATCATATTTCCTTGTAGATATTCATAAGTCTTAACAGCACTGTTCTGTCACTCTGCACTAGAGTAATGTTGAATAAAACCCAGTCTGGACTTAGACTTTTATTCCAAAGGATGAGTTCAAGGAGTGGTGGAAGGAAGTCTTGTGATGGGAAGATCTGCAAGCACCTCTGAAATTAGGCAAATGGGTCTTATAAAGAAGAGTAAAGGCTGGGAAGAGCAGTGTGTGGGGCAGTGGGATAGAAGGGTGGTGAGATGGGTAGGATTGGAGAAGCTCTACCTTGAGGCCAGCCTCTACTCAGGAGGGGCTGCTTGCTGGCCCAAGCTTAGGATGGGTCGAACTTCAGGAACCTGGGGAAAGGAGAAAAGTGCAACCAGTTTGATTGACAAACATTCTGTTCATATTGATCAGCAGGGACGGGTAACTTAGCTAATCATTTATGAGGCAAAGAATGGGAAATTGGAGGGTCTACTTTGGACTTCTCATAGGTCAACAGGTGGGGCATCTGTGATCTAAGTCATGTGGGGAAAGAGGGTTCTCTGAAGTAAACTGTTTTGCAGACCAAAAAGAATAGGGTGATCTCTTAACCTTCACTGTTTTTCAAATTCCCAAACTTCAAATAAAATTCCACATTGCCAGTAAGGATCATTTGTATCAATTAGGATTGCTTTAAGTTGCAAATAATGAAAAACTGGACAAATAATAATTTAGACAAAGAGAAGTTTTTGTTTGCTCACCTCACAAATAGTTCAAAGACCTATAGTTGCTGTTTTGGGTTTAGCCAATCAGTGATGCCAGTGATTCTTTGAGTCTGTCTACTCTGCATTCTTATGTTCATTGCCTCTTGGTCACAGAAGAGTCGCTGCAGTTTCAAACATCATGTCCATGTTTAAAACAGGAAGAAGGTGTCACATGGCTACCACTACCTGCACAAGAAACTAGGGAAGTTGTGCACATTGTCATAGAAGTTCTCTTAGTACTTTACCACCAAAAAACCTCTTATTATTTGAAGTGTAAGAAACCAAATGGCTTATAAATGGGGTGTTAAAAAAAGTATCCAGTATGTTTTGCTCCAGATAACAATGGTTTGGGGAGGGGCTTCAGGAAAACAGGGTCTTTCGGGTAAGGTTATATGGAATCATATATTGAAATGATAATTAGCTTGGAAAAATGTCTAAAACAAATATTGTAAAAGATTTATACCTGTAATTTTAGAGGACTCTTGCACATCAGTAACACAGACTTTGCCTAAATAAAGCTAACACTTATGCTTTTGCATCTCAGATCATTTGTACAAACAGTGGTCCCCAAACCTGAGGAGAGGCTCTTTTGTTCCTGGTGAAAGGACATTCTTGATAGAGATGTTTTTAAAAGTTAGAAAAAGTATAAACACCCTGGAAATATTAACTCACCCTGAAATATTTTCACCTCAAGAAAACTTTCCTAATGGAAAAATTAGAAACCCGAGCCAACTATATTCTGTAAGCTCGATTATTCTGGAAACATTTATTTGCATAAAAATATATGGCAACGGAAGTATCTTTAGAGAATAATTAATTTTTGTGTGAAAGGTCCATCGCCTCAACATAATATCAAATTACAAATAAAAAAAACACTGTTTGTATCATGTTATTTGTATTTGGTCACTTAGAAAAGTATTTATTCACTTTAAAAAATATTGTATGTTAAACAGCATCAGTAGGCATTTATGGCTTCTGGGGTTATGTGTCACTTTCCAAAAATCTTTATAGGATCTTCAAATTTTCCTATCATGAATTATTTTATAATAATTTAAAAATTCACTTTATTTTTCAAAAGATGAAATAAAAATGAGGATGTTTGTTGAGATGTCATTTAGGAAAAATGATAAGCGAGAAAGTGCTTGGGCCCAAGGAGGTGGTGGCTGCTGGCCGGGAGGAGAATGTTGCATTGATGGACCAGGAAAGGTGTCACGCAGCATATTGTTCCTCTGCAGTTCTGTCATTCCTCAGTTCTGCCACGAAGGGAGCCTTAAAAGGAAGCTGTCACAATAGTTCATTCTTCTGTGTTCTCAGAAGTCACGTTGGCTCCATTTTTCTCTTCCTCGGGGGCTTTCTGTTCTCTTTGGTGACACGGCGGGGACTGAGGTCGTGGAGCCTGCAGCACACACAGGAAGGGAAGGGACCCGTTGAAGGAAAACGTTTGTCTCCATGCTTGCAGATATCAGAGTGAAGTCGTGTCAGCCTGCGCAGTTTGGTGTCTTGACCTGTAAGAGTCCCTTTTGCTCTCAGATGGTGTAGACAATGAGACTCCAGTGTTCCCTTTTCGTATGGGGGAATTGAACTCAGGGTCACTCAACCACTGAGCCACATCCCCAGCCCCCTTTTTGTATTTTATCAGAGACAGGGTCTCACTGAGTTGCTTAGCATCTCCATTTTACTGAGGCTGGCTTTGAACTCGCAATCCTCCTGCCTTAGCCTCCGGAGCTGCTGGGATTACAGGCTTGTGCCCAATGCACCCTGCTGAGACCCTGGTATTCTTGACCTGTGTTTTGTCAAAGCCTCTAGATAAAACATGCTGATGGGTGTCTATGTGTGAGTAGGTGTTTACCCTCACCATTATGTGTGTGTGTGGGGGGGGCATGGATGGGTGGATGTGCATGCGTGTTGCGCAGAGGAGCAAATGGGAGAAGATGTTTCTCCTGAGGCCTTTCATCAGACTGTTCCTTGAGTCAGGGCATTGTCGATGTGGGATGTAAGGGCTTCAGATATTTGTGGTTGTCATTTGCTTGATGGAAACTGTTGGTATAAAGCCACATACTCATAGAGCTGTAAGGTTCTTTGGGATTCTTCTTGAATTTTACTTTGCATGTCTTGCCAGGCACTTTCACATATATCTGAGATTTCTAAACTGGGAGGTGTTTAGTTCTGGGTTATGCCACCTGAGCTGGAGATCTGTAAAGCTTTAGGATCTCTAGAAGATTTGCTGTATTTATCCCTTGACTTCATATAAGCCCCAGGTATTGTGTTAAGGAGATGGCTGCATTCACGAATCCTTAGCATGTCCTTAGCACTTGGAAATAAGAGCTTACCTTAGAGCTTCATTTTTACTCATTTCTTTGCCTGTGATTGTGTTGAAATTAATCTGAACCATTTCTGAACTATTAACAAGTAAGCCTTACGGTAAGATGAAGGTCAAGAATTTTAAGCTGCTGTTGTTCAGAGTGAAATGTGTCAACTCGAGCCCAGAACCCTCGCAGAGGAAGATGCGACTTAAAGTGAAAATTAGGGAACACTTATATTTTACTTGGAATTTAGATTTTTTTTGTGGTGCTGGGGATCAAACCTAGGGCCTTATACATGAGAGGCAAGCACCCTACCAATTAAGCTATATCCCCAGCCTTAGAAATGGTCTTTTTTTTTTTTTTTAACAAAAGGAACGAGTAAGATTTGAAGCAGATGTTTCTTCCCCTTTTCAGTCCTTTATATACAATCAAAAAGAAGCAGTTGTTGAAAAATTATGTCTTGGGATTGATTTTGAAAATGTGCTAGGTTTGGGACTGGGGTTGTGGCTCAGTGGTAGAGCACTTGTCTGGCATGTGTGATGCCCTGGGTTCAATCCTCAGCACCACATATAAATAAATAAATAAATAGTCCATTAATGGCTTAAAAAAATGTGCTAGGTTTTATTGTGCCCCATGGTACTTATCCATATGGCCCCTGCCTGGAACTCTAGGTGTCTGCATGACATGACATCTGATAAGCGTCAAATCAACCTGCCTGAGGTACAATTCAACTGTCTCCGTAAACCCACAGATCATCTGTCTCCAGATTTTCTCCACCTTGGAAAATGGAGCAGAGGGTCTCAGTTGATCATTGCTTGTTTCCCTTCTCCCACAGTCAATCTGTCAGCAACCTCCAAAATACATCCCCAAGTCCCCGATGGCTCGCTGCATCACTGCTGTTACCTCCCAGTTCAAATTGCCCTCATCTCTTACCTGGAGCGTATTTACTGGTCTTTAAAGCAATCTCATTGTTCTTTTACGTTCTATTTTCTCTTAATTAGCAAGAATTTAGAACAGTAATTAGATACGGTCATGTCTAACCTGTATTTCTAATTAGATCTGGTCATTCCCCTGTCTAAAGGTAACCATTCATTTTCTACACCCCTTACGAAGTCCTTTGGAGTACACCCCATAACTCCCCTCCACTCTTCTTCCCTCTCCTCTACTCCCCTCCCCTCTACTCCCCTCCCTCTCCTCTTCCCTTTCCTTCTCCATCCCCTCTCCTCCTATCCCTCCCCTCCCCTCCTCTCCCCTCCTTTCCTCTCCCCTCTCCTCATTTCCTCCTCTTTTTCTTTCTTCTTTTCCTTTTTCCTGGTACTGGGGATTGAACCCATGGGTTCTCCACCACTGGACCATATCCCCAGCCCATTTTGTTTTTCATTTTGAGACAGGATCTTGCTGAGTTGCTGAGGGCCTCCTTAAATTGCTGAGGTTGGCCTTGAACTTGCAATCCTGTTGCCTCAAACCTCCAAGAAGCTGCGATTCCCTCACAACTTTTCTAACCTTAGCTTCCATCACTCTTTTTCTAGAGTTCTTCAGACCCTAAGCTCTGTAAGCCTGCCAACCCATCAATTTGAAGGCCTTCCTCCCACCAGGAATGGGCCCCTTCCCCCATGGCCAGCTACTTCTAACATTGAGAGCAAGATGTCCTGTTTATATAACCCCTCACAAGGCCTTGCTCGGCCACCTGACAACAGACATCCCACCATGGCCCCACTTACCACATAGCCTTTGTATATCCTACTTAAATGTCCTGGCTAGCAATGACACCGATTCCCACCGATAGTGCTCATCATATGTCACCAAGACCCCAGAGGAGGTTGGTGCCTGATGTGGCATGAAGCCCATCCACCGCTGGAATCCAGCATTTTCTCAACATTGGTACCAACAGCCTGTTTCTACCTGTTCTGTTTTTACAGAGTACTTGGCTTTATAAGTATAAAATCTTTGGTGTTCTGAAGGATTGCTCCCCAGCTCTACTCAAAGAAGTCTATATGGACTTAGGCTACAGAAAACAGTGGGACCAGTATGTTAACGGTGAGTGATGCCTACTGTAAGTTATTAGAATGTAAAATCTATTCTCATTTTTTTTTCTAGCTTGTAGAAATGAACAGGTTTGATTTCTACTGTGTTTTGCTTCCTTTTAAATTGTGGCACAGAAGTCTTTTAAATGCGGGCCTGAAAGCTGCCCTTTCTATCCCTCGCCCTTGCTCCTGACAGAGTTTGGGGTTCACTCTGTGGTTGACTCCCTGGGCTGCTTTGCTCTGCCTGTTAGGTTGTGTAACTGTCCCATGTATCTAAGTGACCCAGAGAGGCGCCTTGGAGGGCATGGGGTCCTGGTTTTGTTATAGAAGTTGAATAGAAGATTTCTACACAGGTGAGAATATATACACCTGAGGAGGTCAGAGAGCAAGGGGTGGAGAGGTGTGGGGCATTCTAGGTCCAGGAAGAGCACATGTCAGGTTAGAATAGCATGAAGCAGCATGTTCAGAAGCCACTAGCACCTGGTGTGCTGGGTTCATTAGAACAGCAGACCCTGCCCAGACTCTACTACTACTGCTGAGTACAGGATGGCTCCCAGCACCCTGGGCCAGTAGAGGGTCCAGATCCCCAAGGGCCTAGCAGGACTACAGGGCCACATTGCTGAGATTTTTGCCCTGTTGAGATGCAGAGTTATGAAAAGCATTAACCATGGGATCTACCTGCCACTCAGAGCCAGGAGTGGCCTTTGCTGTCTTGGTCGTAGTGGAATAGGCCTACAGAGCTAGCCAAGAGCATGAAGTCTCCAGCCAGGATTCCTGGTGGCAAGTAACAAAAAGGCCAAGTACAGACAGTATAAAAAAAGAGAGAGGAATTTTTTGGTTTATGGTGTTAAAAAGCTCCAGGCTTTGTAGCTTCGAGGACAGCTGCTTTGGAGAACTTCAGTCATTTTATCAGAATGTTTCCTTCTCCCTCTCTAGTTCATGTTTGCCTGTGTGTTGATCCTAGTTCTCAGGCAGATTCTCTGGTCATGGTAAAAATGTCTTCCAGAGGTAGGTTATTACATCCTTGTGGTGTAATAACCCCAGAGGAGAGATAATTCCACTTTCTTAGGACAGAAGCCACAGTGCCAGCACTGGCCATCAGCAGCTGAGCGTGAAGCACCTGCTCACGTCTTGTGGACATTCATCATAAAATGAAAACTTAGTGTTTTCAGACCGCCTTCCTATTTAAGGGGCATTGTGATCCCCCTATCCTAGTCAGCACGTTGACACTCTGCCCTAGGGGTCCCGCCTCCCAGCAGCCACGATGCAGCCATGTGATACAGACTCTGCCAACGAGACGTACTTGTTGATTTAGTATGGAAAGGAACCAAGTGAGGAAGCAGGCAGCAGGAAAAAACTATGCCTTTTCAGTGACAGCCAAGACACCTGACACCTAAGAGCCTCTGACACCTGCTACCCACCTAGCATCCACAGCCTGTGCTATAGTGGTGGGTCCAGTAGAAGGAGCAGTTGGCCTTGATTGAATAATCCTGGGGTCCTAAATGCCACTCTGGTCCTCCTGGATATTGTATGAGCACCTGAAAGTCTTACTGAACCCCTTAGGGCCTAAACTTGCTCCAGTGGCAAGGTACTGAACCTGCCGGAACTAAGACCCTGGCTAGGTACACCCTGGGGCTACCTCTTATCCATGTTCCCAGCCCTGAAGCTACTACAGAATAAATCCTGCTTAAAACCCACAGTAGAGGAGTAGGGACAGGTGATTGAAACCCCCGGAAGATGGTGGAGATGCTGGTTTGAGAAAGAGGACCAAGGCTGAGTGTGCAAAAACAACACACCTCCCTTCCTTCCAGGATCCCCTGCGACTTCCTGCGACATTAGTGACCTGGCACGCCCCAGAATCCAAGGTGTGCTTCTAATAGGTTCCTTTCACCAGCTCACCCTGCCCGCTCAGCGTCTCCTCCAGGGCTGTCTTGGGCTCTTCCTCAGCCTCAGGGGCTCTTTCTCTAGGTGGGGAGCTAGAACCCCCTGCACAGCCTGGGTAGATGGGCGTGTGCCATCTGCTCTGTGCTTTCTCCCTCCCCCAGTAGCAGGAGGAGAGAATTAGGTTGCTGCAGCAGAGTGTAAAGAAATATGGGGGAGAAGCAGGAAACCTAGAATAAACACTGTTCGGCCACTTTCTGGCTGTTTAGGGTGACACTGTGGAACTTTCATGTCCCACCTGCGCATGCTGCATTGGGTGACCCCTCAGTCCCAGCCAAGCTGTTGTCAAGCTAGCTTAAAGAGGAAGAAAGGACTCAAAGGCGAAAATCTTGGTGCTCTAGTGACATCTGGTGGTTACCCCGATCTGAAAACCGATCCCATTTTCTTTCTGGATACCTGATTCTGTTCCATCGTTCCCTCTGCCAGAAGGTCGTTGGTGCTGTAGGATGGATGAGGTGTGTGGGTCTCTTTCTGGGTCACTGATTTTTTTTTTTTTTACCCTCTAGACTGTCCCTGGGCAGCAAGCTTTCAGTGGGAATGAATCTCCTCGTTTTTTTGGTTTTTTTTTTGTTTTTTTTAATTCTACACCTTAGGAGTTAGTGGTGCATCTACACTACGAAGCCACCTAGGCATTTTGTTACTTGAAGCCAAAGAAGTTTCCAGATGCATTAACGTCTTCTGTTCTCCCTTAGAACTCTATGAAAAGGAATGCGATGGAGAGACCTTGGTGTACTGGCAAGTGGCGTACCCCTTCCCCATGTACAACAGAGACGTATCCTTTTACAGAGCGCTCGGTTCCTTACCCCCGCTTCGTGTGTCTGCGCCCTTGGCTTGTGTGCGGGGGGCCGGGGCTGATTTTCCATTCGGTGCAAACAGCATCGTCTTTGAGTCTCACGGGTACATCTGCTGGAGCTGCTGCTTTTTCCTGTGGCTTTCAGAGACCTCAGGGTGTGATTTCTAGGCCTGACCGCACAATTACACTTCTGTGATTGTGGGCACGGGAGGGCAGATTATGCTTTCCAGGGATGTTGTAGAGTGCTGGACATTGCTGAGCCATAGCACTGGGGGGGTCTGGAAGGAACGCTGTATAAAGAGTGCTAACCCAGGCCCCTGGATTTAATGGAGGAGGAGGTGGGACCCAGAGAGCTGAGCTGACGGAGGTGCTGGGACCCAGGCTCTGCATTTCCAACTCTCCCTGTTCTGCTGTCCTGCTCAGTTGACCCCACCGTGACACCGCCTGGCTGTTGGCTCTGGACACTTAGGGACATGCTTCTTCCCCTAAATATCCTTGTTTATGAAATGCAGCAATTGCGGAATGAGGGGAGTTTGTCTGGCATCTCGAGGGTGTAAGAAGCCACCTCAGGGCCAGCCTGGGAGGGTGGGGTGGAGATTCTCCTGGCGAGCAGGATGGCCGTGGGATGATGGACAGGCGAGGAGTTGACCCCCTTCACTGCCCTCTTCAGTCGCCACAGCTCAGTGTCTCTCACGCTGTATTTCCATAGAAGATCTTTTAAGCAAAAGTCTTGTGGAATAAAAAAAAGATTGGTGAACTAGGTGGTCACAGGAACCTTTCCCAGTTCTGACATCTTGTAAGTCTGTGTATTCCTAAATAATTATTCTGTAGAGATGGGGAGGAGGGTGTGTGTGTGTGTGTATGTGTCTTAAGCCTGTGTGTCGACCCTGCCCCCCCGCCCCCCACCGAGTAGATAAGACACCTTAGGAGTTTCTGTCTTGGCACCATATCCCTGTACTGCTAGTTTGTAGTCACATGGTTCACATTTCAGTAAATTGTTACTTGATCCTTTAGATTTTACACAGTTTCCTATAATCCTGGCAAAGGAAGTGCAAGATGAGTCATCATCCCCATTTCACAGTCAAGAAAACTGAGGAAAGAGAAGTTCGGAACTTTGCCAGGTTCATACAACTAGTTTGTGGCAGAGGCAAGCTTGGTGTGTAGGATCACCTGTACGCGGGGGCGGTGATCTTGCCTACGGGCCAGTCTTACCTCTCTGACCTCACAGTGACACTTTAGATGGTATTCTCAGCAGTGGACACGTGGAGCTCCTGGAAGTCTTTTTCCAATGACTTTCCAATGCCACATAACCCCCCCACAATGAGACTCTGTAGATGTCTATATGTTTCCCTGGTTTGGGTTGAGAACAGAGAACTGTGCTGTGGAGAGCATTCCCTGGTTTGCTGTGTGAGCTTAGGAAAGGCCCTTTACTTCTCTGGGCCTCAGTGAACTGGTGGTCACAGGTCGTATGGCATGCTGGAGCTGGATTTCAATCAATCTTATCAAGGTAGTTTTTCTCAGTGAGGTGTCAGATGCCATCTGTTCCACAGCTGAGAAAGTCGTGGAGAGAGCAAAACAATATTTGTTGTGAGGAAAAAAATAAAAGGCTTGGAAGAAGGCCAGAGCCAGGATACAGCCATCTCTCCTGGAAACACTGATGTGCATCGCTGCTTGGTACCTAGGGAGTGGGGACCATGCATGGTCCAACTCGAGGGCCTGGGTGCCACAGAGGTGCGGAGGTGGCATGGGGCACGGCAGGTGTGCTTAGTAAATGCAATAGTGCTGATTGCCGAAGGCTTTTAATTCTTTCTGGTTTGACACCCCAATTTCCGTTATTTCATTCAAGATCGGAGGCCCATCCCGCGTTGAGATTCTCAAGAGGTGCTGGAGCAAGATCTGAGTGCAGGTTCAGATCCTGTCACTCCAGCCGGACTGTGGGACCTTGGGCAAATGCCTTCACCTCTCTGAGACTCAGTTTTGTAAACTATAATACAGGGATCCTCAGGCCACATACTCCCAGAGTCTTTGCAAGGTCACCCTTGATGTGGCATATGTAGAATACGTGATGTTTGTGACATTCTACCATATACGTGGACTACGTGATGTTTATTACAGGAAGCGGTGAGGTTCGTTTCTTAGGATGTAATTACCTTCCCTGGAATAGGGCCAGAGACCGAGTGGTTGTTCCGTCAATGTTTATGGGGATGAATGCATTGGATATTCTTGGTGAACCATGTTAACCCAGGGAGGACATCTACCTATTAAATATCACGTATTCTAGTGTCTTCTTATGGCCACTATTTTTAACACTACTTGAGGTCTTCTATGCATAGTGATCTGTGAATTATTGCTTGGGTGAGAACAGAAAAAGGAACGATACCATTGTTTATAGAATGCTTATTCTGCTCCAGATTTTCTCTAACGCCCCCACCAAGCCTAACTGGTGGGCAATACAACTCCTTTTTTTCCCCTAAATACAGAAACTAAGTTTCAGAGAGGTTGAATAACTTACCTGAGAGCACACAGCTGATAGGTGACCAATCCTCTGCCCTCTCCTAGTGCCTTCTGGGAGAAAGGAGAAATTGATTCCTGGTGTCTTTAAAAGCACCATGGAGTTATTCACAGGAAGGTAATGCATGCTCTCAAATGGGAATCGTATGTGGCATGAGATGCAATCTTGCAGCACAGGTAGGGAGACAGGGCAGGTAAGTGAGGAACCGGAAGGGAGTGAGCACCCAGTGGAAGGCACAGAATCACGTCCCCTCTCTCCCAGGTTGGGGAGCTCTCCTCCTGCCTGTCTGAACCCTGGCGTTGATGTGGTGCCTTGACGGTGGATGCAGTATGTCTACATCCGGGAGCTCAGGGAGCTGGATATGGAAGGGCGGAAGATCTACGTGATCCTGGCCAAGAGCACCTCCAGCAGTCAGTTTCCGGAAAGGTCTGGTGTGATCCGGGTGAACCAGTACCAGCAGAGCCTAGCAATTGAGAGCGACGGCAAAGGGGGCAGCAGAGGTAAAGCCCGGACCGCCCTCATGAAGGCTGGGTGGTGGACAGTCCCCTCAGGTGCATGAAGCTTGTCCCCAGAGGTCAGAGGATGGGCACAGGAGCAGAGCAGACCAGGGCCAAGGCTTCATTCACCGGCCACACTTGGCTAGAGCATGTGGTGGGTGTATAGACTGACCCGACTCATTCTTCGCTGTCCCTAGGAGATCTGAACACTAAAATAAACCAGAAGGTTCAGAAATTCTCCATAGGCTGATCCTGGGAATGCATATGGTGGGCCCGAGACTGAGCAAGAGGACTGACAGAAAGGTTTTGGAGAATGTGGCTCCTGCTCAGCACAAGCCCAGCAACTCAGGACCTGCCCACCACCACCACCCCCAGGGAAGAGCCGACAGAGATAGTCACATGGCACCTGCCGTACTGAATGAACATGGCCTGTGTCTCCGGCAAAATCTGAGCAGTACTTCTAATGCTTGTTAGATTTGTCACCTAACTTTCCTGAATCTTCATTTCATCATTTCTGAAGTGGGGTTAATTTTGTCAGTTTCTTAGGGCTGTTAGGGTAATTAAACAAGAGACTATATTCCAATGTCTATCACTTGCTGGGTGTTTAATAAATAGAAGCAAAACACGCCTGTGGCTATGTTTTCAAAACTGCTTCTGGCCTGGAGCCTGTAATCCCAGCGGCTCTGGAGGCTGAGGCAGGGGAAATCACAAGTTCAAAGCCAGCCTCAGCAAAAGCGAGACACCATTACAGAGGGAGCCTCGGCGTTCATTGCAGAGGCATCTACAGCTGAAATCACTGTAAACGCTTACTACTTCGTAGAATGACTTTTGGAAGGTATTTCTTCCTCCTGAGTTTGTCCTGCTCACTCTACAACCCATGCCCCATTTTTCTTGGTGTTAAAGCCCAAATATAAATCCTGGACACCTCTCTGTGTACCGAAAGTCCAGGGAAAAGCATCTTGTCTATTTGGAAAGTGAACATCATGTGGCCTCCGGGAGTTCTTTTTCTGTAAGAATACTGACTTTCTGGAATAATTAGTATATTATTGTACATGATTGCTTTGTGAAATGTGCAAATGATATCACCTATGCAGCCTTGTTTGATTTATTTCCTCTGGTTTGTACTGTTATTAAAAGCATATTGTATTATAGAGCTATTCAGATATTTTAAATATAAAGATGTATTGTTTCCATAATATAGATGTATGGACTATATTTAGGTAATAGATGCATTACTTGGAAAGTTCTGCTTTGACAAACTGACAAAGTCTAGGTTAATTAGCAAATTGTATCTCAGTTAGCAGTAAATCAGTGGAACATGCCAAGAAAAGGATAAGGATACTTAAAATGGAAATAGTTCTCCAAAGGTGTACAATTTGGACTTGTTCAGCTGCTCAGTATATGTTACCAATATTCCCTCAGGCTCCCACCCCAAACTTGAAATTCTTCTAGTTCTTAAGAGTTCCTAATTTATAACTGATTTTAAAATTAGAAGTTTCTCTAGTGGTTTCAGTTTGGGAGTAATCATTCAGTTAAAAGTACAGTGTGGTTTATGCAAACAAATAGCTTGGCATTAAAATTGGCCCCTTCTTAAGGTGGGGCCCAGCCTGGCACTGTGGCCAGGGTGGCCATGTAAGTCCCGTCAGGATAGTCACGCCCTCCCGCATTTCCACATGAGTTTAGTAACAGTGCAGATTCCATGTCCCTGTTCTGATACCCTCTGAGAAGTGCCTGATGATGCTGATGTACTTACAGACACAAGAACAATCTTTGCTATAATTGTATAAAGCCATAAATGTACATAAATTATCTGTAAATGGTTAAAAAAAAAAAAAGCGAGACACTAAGCAACTCCGTGAGACCCTGTCTCTAAATAAAATACAAAATTGGGCTGGGGATGTGGCTCAGTGGTTAAGTGCCCCTGAGTTCAATCCCCAGGAATGCCCCCCCACCCCCTCACCCCCCAACCACGCTCCCCCCAAAAGTGATTTTATATAGAAATGCCTCAAGGCAGGTTGATGGAGAGAAGTCCATGGCAATTTGATGCCACGTCTGCTCTCTCTGGGCCTGGATACGAAGAGGTAAGCTTTTCAGGGTCTCATTGCTGTATTTTTCCAGTGTCTCTCTCACGTTCTGAACTGTGCTTTCTTTTCCCCTCTAGTTTTCATGTACTACTTCGATAACCCAGGAGGCCTGATTCCGTCTTGGCTCATTAACTGGGTAGCCAGGGTGAGTTCCCAGGAGACTGGAGGGGGAAGTGTGTTTGACAGATGTTGACTCAGCGCACGGAGCTGTCAGGCTGAAGAGACACATTGTCTCAGGCGTAATGAGGCTCTTTTATGAAGACCTTGGTTCAGTGACTCCGGATAGGCCTGAAATTGCCAATAACCAGGACACAGGCTGGGACAGAAGACAAAGAACTGGGAGCTTGGAATGCTGTGTGGCCCCAGACCCTGCCAGGATCACATTCTGGAACCTCTGGACAAAAACTGCCGCCTCTAGGAACAATGGTGCTTTGGGACCTAGTATCTGCTTATGAAGGGTAGACAGGTCTTAGAGATGACCAGAGGTGACCAGGCCTGAAAGACGCCAGCGGTTTGGTCATTGTTGCTATTTTTTAATTTTTTTTTTTTCTGTGAGGGGAGGGAGAAAAGCCACCTGTCTACTTTGGAAGTCCAATAGTTGTGATTTTGAATCTTGGCTTTGCTATTGACTGTCTTATTTTATTTATAAAATCTGTGAATTTGTTCCTTTTTTAAAACCAGAGATGCATATTCCTTACCCATGGAGCAGATGATGGGCAAGAAAAGTCTTGCACAATTCCCAGCATTAACAAAACAGCACGTCCTGCCCTCAGACCCCAGTGCCTTACTGTTTTCGAATGCTATGACGCAAGTCCTTTCCCTGACTCCTTTGGCCTCGCCCAATTCCATTTCCTGGGTTTTCCTTCTTCTTTTCAAGAAATGATGATTTTTTTTTTTTATTAGCAAAAGTCCAAATGTAAGGCTGTGTCTTCTAACAGTGGTTTCTATCATCTAGTTTTATCTGTGCTCTGGGTCTGGCCTTTCGTCATTATCTGTGACAATGCTGGGCTCACACCGGAGCCTTATTGGCTCTTTGCCACCATAGTTCACCTTTTGCCACATCTCAAAGAACCCTGCTTGATCACCAGAAAGATGTGGAAATGACTGTCTCTTTTCCCTTGCAGAATGGAGTTCCCAACTTCTTGAAAGACCTGGAAGAAGCCTATCACAAGTACCCCAAGAAAAAATAAAAGAGAATTGGGACCCTTACATATGCAGATTGACGTCTCTGCGGGTGCCACCACCTTCTGATGCTCAGCTTTCCTGTCAAATTTCCGCCTTCAGTGGTCTGCACGCCCTGCCTGACGTCTGGCTCCCTGGCCTGCTTCCTTTCCCACTCCTCCCAGCTCAGGCAGCTGCCTCCTTCTACCACTGAATGGGGGACAGATTAGGGAAACTTTTGCTTGTTTATTTTTAAAAAAGGGAAGTCCTCAGTAGGGAACACAGCATTCCATTGTGCCATTGTAGGGGGGATGGGTGGGTAAAGACAACAGAACCAGAATGATCATTCTTGGCAAGCTGGCCCTTTCCCAGAACTGCTGTCTTACAACCCAGGAGGGGCAGCTGGAAGTCACCCCTCTGTTCGAGCTGATCTTCCCCTCTGTGCCAGACTGGATACACTGATAGGCATGGGTCGTATGCTTTGTTGACTTGATTGTCGTGGGGTTCTTGGTGATAATCCTCTAAGTCTTTCCCTGCCCCTACTTGTGAGTGGCCATGGCTGTTGTGATATCACAGCACTTTGAGAAGCATTTGCAAGCCTGACTGGACACATAACGTGATGACCACTTTCCCCCCTCATTGTTCCTATCTGAGTTTCCCTCCTTCTTTCCCATATGCCGCTGGGAATAGGCTGCCTTTACCTTTTAGCTCTGCATTTTCCTGGAAACAGAGATGTCAAGATGGCAGTTAGCAAAAGCAAATATGCTTCGTGCCTAGCACTCTGCTAATTTACCTTGGTGTGCAATAAAATAAATTTCCCTTCTAGAATGTCTGGAGACTTTGAAGTGACAATAGTTTACAACCAGGTAAAAATGAATTAGCAGCCTGGTTGACTCTGTAACTTTTTTCTCAGGAATTCTATCTAAGTTTTCTGCCTCTTCTACCACCAAAGGGACTCTCAGAGTCCTGTTTTCTCTGGAATTTTGGTAGGGTAAGATATGCTGTGGCTAAAGACACAGCACTGATATTCTCAGGGAAAAAAATTTAATTACTAGGTGTGATGGTCCAAACCTTGGACATAGAAATTCAGGATATAAAGCCAGAGGACGGGATTTGTTAAAATGGAATTCCTGTTTGTATGCTTTCTCTCTGGGAAGAAAAGTGTACGAATAAATATGGAGTTGCTTATACTTGTCTTATGGTCAGCTTTCGTCCTACTTTCTCCCTTTTGTGGTAATGAACTGGTTAAGTTTCTTGTTTGCAATTGACATGCAACCTAACTTGTAGAATTGAACACAAAAAAATAATTTGGGGCTCACTTTATGGAAGACCAGTGGTAGGTAGCTTTAGGTAGGGATTGCTATAGGTGCTCAAATTTACATTAAAAATCAACTTTCTTCTTCAGTTTGCCTTTGACATTGATCTGCATGTGGTGGTAGGAATTCTGCTTACAATAATAGATAGGCCTATGTCTTTCCAACGTCATACCAAGCCCTGCAGCCCCTCAAAAGACAGAACATCTTTCCAACAGCTCCTGCACTATTCCATAATATAGGTTTCTCCCTAACACATGTGTTTATCCATGCCCCAGTCATGTGGTCATATGGATAGGATTATGCAAATGAGCTAATGCTTCCTAAATTTATTATTATAATGTAATTCCTAGTAATGTAGCTAGAATTTAATTTTTGATCAACTAAACCTAAATGCCTCATGTTATGGAGGATAAGTTGAAACTTTATGTATAGATTCTTTGATATGCAAGCACTCAGGCTACAGACTGAATAGAATATTCCCATAAAGTGGTGCAATGCAAACCATTTCCTTGAGCATCATTTGATATTTTGCTAAGAACTCTGAAAACACTAATAATACCAAGGTTTTAGGTAAAGCACTTAAAAAAAAAGTAACAGATTTGCTAAAATTAGTGGAATGATGCCTTTGGGGCTTGCTAGTTTAGAATAGAGGATGGTTCCATGCAGCACTGAAATATGGAGCATGTGAGAAACTGAGAGTCTCCAGCTATAGTAGATGCCAGAGGTACAGTAAGAGCAGGATTGGTCCTTCCAGGGTTGCCCCCGACTGTTCAGGATACATTTTCCCCTCAGTGATGGGTGTATCATTTGCATTTGGAAACTGTAAATACACTGTCATTCTGCCAGTACATGGTGGTACTTATTTTCCCATGTCTGTCTGTCAAAGTAGACAGACTTCTTGTGAGTAGAAAGAATTTCAACACTTTGATGACTGGCCCCAAAGGCAGCATATAGTAATTGAGTGAATAAATGACTTAGAGAAAATTGAATAAATGACAGAACCCTGAAGACTAAACCCAACTTGACATATACAGGCTGATTTCAACAGAGTGATTTTCCCCAAGTCTACAGTTTCGGGGGTTCTAATTTCCCAATCCGTCTTTCTCGGACAGTACTGACGTCTTGTCGCCATTCGGGTGGCTTTGCTGATGTGACTGCAGGTTCCAGTGTAAGGCTGGGGAAGTGTCGCGCTCTGGTTTGAGTCCAACTGAGCATTGTCAGGATTTCAGTTGGAATTTAATTGCAAGAGTAGAGCTACCTCGGGGGACTACATGTTTTCCACAGGCGAATTATTGTCACTACACAACAATCAGAGTGGGGATGACCACCTTGGAACTGAGGAGTTCCAACAGAGGGTCATTTCCCTTGAAAATGTTCCTATTTCACAGCAAGAGTCCTGGCCTGGCTCCCTGGCTGATTCCTCCTCCAGGATCCTCATCAATGATGTCTGTCTGCCCTTCACACCTCTGGCTTCCCAGATGGATTTGGAAGAGACCAAGCAGGAAGAGCACATTGGATTCTCATATTTTTTTGGTAGCACCACCCAACCAGCTCAGAGAATTATCTTCAAAAGCATGGAGACATTTCTCAAAGGGCTGGTGTCATCTGTCAGAAGAACAGGATGGTGGTTCCCAGGATGAATGAGACAGATTGGGGGCCTGCCTTAAAGGAACAACGTATAGTCCAATGAAGAAAATGCAGGGGGCAAGCCGTTGAAAGTGGTAAACACCAAGGGCAAATGAAGGGTGCCGTCATGGGGCTCTGGCTAATGTTGAGGGGCAGGGAAGAATATTCTGGAGCCAACTGGGAGAAAAGGTGGAGGAAGAAAGCTGCCCCAGATGGAAGAACCATTTGCACAAAATTCCTCGGGCAGGAGAGTCAGTCACATCTGAAGGACTACAGAAGGCCAGTGTGGACATTCCCAAAGGCCTGGGGAAAGAAATCTTGCACGTGGCTAAAGAAGTAGCCATGCAGGCTGTGGGGGAGACTGGGAGCCAGGCAAGGGCTTTGGACCTTAGATCGAGAGCACCAGTAAGCTTCCCAGGGTATTAGGTTGAGAAGTGACCTGACAAGATTTATTCATTCCTATTAGCTGCTCATTTCTTCTATTTTCTTTCTTTTTTTTGGGGGGGGGTGTGGTACAGGGATTGAACTCAGGGACACTCCGCCACTGAGCCACATCCCCAGCCCTATTTTGCATTTTAGTTAGAGACAGGGTCTCACTGAGTTGCCTAGTGGCTCACTGTTG